GGAGCGGGGAAGTCAAAAACACAATTCCAAATTCTCAGATTCCATGACTTTTGGAGGCATGGAGCCTGCATGAACCCCTGAAACAGACATAATTTTTAAACCTTAAGCCAAAAATATTCCAAGTCTTCTTAAACCCAAACATGTTAGCTTGACTGGTTAAAAATGTTTTCCTTGAGAATTATGCTTTTAAAAAAATATGCTCTTTTAAGAACTATTTGTGATTGACAACAGCAACTTTTGACATAGCCAATGTCCAGAACAGTGAGTTAATGAGGGAAAAACTAACTAAAGTAGGGTGAGAAGAGTTGCAAAACTTGAAACAATGTCATCAAATGTTACATGTAGTAAATGCTGAGCTGGTGTGTTTTGCTGTGTAAATTCTGAATGTGTAGCTCTGGTGGCCTAGTGGTAAGAAGCTGTGCTGCAATCCCAGAGGGACACTTTGAATCCACTAGCTGCTTCATGGAAGAAGGATGGGCAATCTCTTCCTGTGTGATTAACTGCCTCTGAAAACTGACTGGAGGGTCAGCTATGGGTTGGTTCCAACTCAAAGGAACACGCGTTGTTTTGTGCCGTTGAGTGGGAATGAACTCATAGCGGATCCTCCCATGGGTTTTCAAAGACTATGTAAATTGCACAGGAGGAGACTGCCTATCTTTCTCCTGAAGAGCAGATGGTGGATTTAAACCACCTGATTTTGGGTTGCAAAAGCTCAATTTACGTCATTTAATGTTTCCCAGAGCAGATGTCACAGCAGAAAGGTAGGGGAAGATTTTGACCTGAATGGCAAGCCTGACCAACTGATTCTTCCCTGGCATTTTACAACCCCTTACAGAACCCAGAAATTCATCTAGGTATATAAATGTAATGATCTCCTCTTTCTTCCCCAAATGGTTGCTATGTCTGCTCTACGCTTAAACATGTTTGTTGCGGTGTACCTTCCAGTCAGAACCAACCCACAGGTGATCCTTTACTGGGCATATCAATGTTTAAGCATAAACTGTTAGGTACCATACACAACGGATGTTAAGCTGAATGTGCTGTTTTAAAATTGTGCTACTTGAAATTTTAAACTGTTAAGGTTCACCTACAAATAAATATCCCCAAATCCTTTTTCCTCTATTCTTCCACTGATCGTCGAAGAAATTATGTTTTACTCCTATTAGTATCAAGAATGCCAGACACAGTGACAGGTTTACATCATGTCTATAGTTTTACAAGCCTCCTTTGCCTTCTGGGTTTGGTTTTGTTGTTGTTGTTATTGTTTTTAATATACAGAATGTACCTTTTCATTAAAATTTTTTTATTATTAATTTCAACGAAAATTTACAGAGACTATGGATTTCCATTCATTCACTGTTGCACTTTTCTCCCTGCCCACCCCTCCCCCAGTACACTCTTCTCTTTGAAAAGTAAAAGAAAAATTCTTTCATTGTTTTACAATCCCTCCCCCCAGGTCCACTCCACTATGCAGCCTTCGCTCTGGACTCCCAACATGACAAAAATACCAAATCACGTATCCCTTTTCAACAGTTCTCTCCCTCATCTGTTTCAATGCAGTGTACATTATTTATCCTATCTTTCTCAGTCTCCCCACCCTCTTCTGGTTTTTGAAAGTTATAAAAGCTACACTGAGTAGACTGCTTGACCCTTGTGTAGCACTGATGAGAAAAAGTAAAAAAAAAAAAAAAAAAAAAAAAAAACAACACCAAAAAACACTGTCCTTTTCTTGGTAGTTTTATTTTTAGTAAGCATTACATAACACAGACTTCTATAGTAGTGCTAGGTGACTGTGTTGTTTTTTCACTAACAGGAAGAATGCTTCTTTAGTCAATGTTCTCCAAACCCTGTAAAACAATGTTAAAAATGAGACTGTGAGAATTCTGTTCTCCCCATCTGAGATTTCTTATTTTCACTGACACCCAACAGCATTCTTTAATTGCTACTATAGTTAAGATTTACATGTATAGTAGCAACTTGAGATTTTAAACTGTTAAGGTTCCCCTACAAATAAATATCCCCAAACCCCTTTTCCTCTAGTCTTCCAGTGATCACTGAAGAAACTATGTTTCACTCATATCAAGAGTAACAGTTGCTATTTATGAATTATTAGGTGCCAGGCAGTGACAGGTTTACATTATGTCTATAAATTTACCAACCACAAAAAGTGTTAAGTTTCCAATTCAAGGTTGTCTAGCCCTAAAGCTAGTTTATTTTCCACTTTGCCATACAAATAATTCTCTTAACCAACTCTCTTTTTCTCTAATAAATACCAGTGTTATTTAAAAATCAAACTTTGTTGCTTGTGGGATTTATACAATGTTTTAAAAATAGTGACTAGTAACTCTTTAGCTAAATTGCTCCCTGTCTCCTGGAGTACATACATAAACTAGTAAAATCAGTAAAAATTATTTGAGAATTAATAAAAACATTACCAAGTTTTTCTTGTGACAAATGTGATCATGAAAATAATTACCTATCATGTGGGAAAGTAGTATAGTAAAGGGATGAGGACTTGGCTTATAGTCTAAATCTCAGTTCTACTATCTTCCTACCCTAGCTCATGACCTTGAGAAAGATATTACCAGAACCCACCTCAACCATGACAGTTGGGGAAAGTCAAGGTCCCTCACCTTTGATACATAGTAGCGATTCACCCCAGAGATCCTCCTATCTCTTTCCATCAAACACCACTGGTATGGAAAATGAGCAACCCTTTTCTCCTACAAATGAAAAACAATTATTATTGCACTTTATAAAGATGGCTGTTGTTTTTAATCATAGCTGACTCTGAAATTTCTGAGGCTGTAAGTCATAAAGGAGGAGATGGTCCATTTTCCTCCCTTGGAGTGGCTGGTGAATTCAAACTGCTAGAAGGGCCCCTTGAGGCTAGCAGCACAATTCCCTAAAGAGTATGCCACAGAGTTTCCTAGATGAATACTGTTGTTGTTGTTATATGCTATCCAGTTAGAACTGACACACAGCTGATACGCCATTGGATTTTCAGAGACTGTGTATCTTATAAGAGTAAACTGCCCATCATTTTTCCGAGCAGCAAGTGGACTCAAACCTAGTGCCTTTGGGTTGACAGTGCAACTCCTTACCACAAGGTCATCAGCTTTAAAATTTAACATTCTCCCCCTCTACAACTATTGACATTTATCAAAGTTCATAGAGTATAGGTGTTTAAAAATCTTTACAGTGGAAAATTTGAGGAAAAGTAACTACTTGCCTACTACTCTTATATCCATACTGTAATAGTAAGACAAGTTAGTGCAGACATACATTTTTATAGCCAATTCAATGGTTCTAATTGTCACATAACAATGATAGTCAAGGATATTGATATGTTTAATTACCATAAAATAGCGGGGGGGGGAAACAGTTTTATAACCAACCTTCAAGAATTTATTAAAATGTATGTAAATTTTGAAATTTAATAAAACTCACTTATATAGAGTATTGAAGAAAAAAAAAGTTAACATTCTGGAAAAAAAAAAAGACCAAACATTGAAATAAAAATCTAATTGGTGTGCCCAAACTCTCCTTTAAAAATATTAAGCTACAAAAAAACAAAAACAAACAAGCTACAACCAGGAGAAGATAAAATAGATGAATGGGACCTTCTAAGAATCAAATCCCTATGCACATCCAAAAACCTCTCCAACAAGGTAAGAAGAATAAGGTTTAAGGGGTAAATTCCTTCCTAAAAGCCTGAGAGAGAGCAAAGTAACTCAAAATGTCAAAAGAAAAACGAGGTTTAGGGTAGGAAAACGCACGTTATGAGAAATTACAAACAAAATATAGCAAGGGGGAAAAACAGCTGTTAGAAGTCGTCACAGGGTCGCTTTGAGACGCAGGCGACTCGATGGCACATAACAAGAATTAGAAGTCAAAGGGAGTGGGGACGAGACTATTCAACGCCTCCCTTTTTGGCTTAGAAGTTTCGAACTCTGGGCTTCATCTTCTAGTCCCTTTTGTCACTCTGCTCCAAACAGCAATCCAAATACCAACTTCAGTTGCTAATGCGGCGAGATCCCCCAAAACCCCTGCGTTGTTTTTTTTGTTGTTGTGTAACAGTGAGTAGGGACGACCCCCCTACCTGATCCAAAAGGAGGTGTTTTATTTTCTCCTGCGGAGAAGACAGCACAACTCCATACCAAAAGCCACCAGGGCTCCCTAGCGTTGCTTTTAGGGACCTGGAATTCTCTACCTTGGAGAAACACGAGGGGTCCCCGGCTCCCACCCCCCCGCCGCCCTCCCTCACCCAACGTCCGTTCTGAGACGACAGTATGCTGTATCCACGTTGCGGCTGACTAAGCCGCCTTACCTTGCCACCGCTGGCGAACTTTTGGATGTTCGCGGTGGCTACTCCCGGAATGAACAAACACACCGCCATGACGGCGAGTCCAGGGAGAATCTCGTACCACATCGTGACAGAACCTTCTCCCAAGTCCACCGAAAGGTGACCCTGTCGCAGCTCCCTTCCCACGAAGCCCCGCGGCCTGACCCTAGCACGGCTACGTCACGTAGGAAGGAAGCGACGGCGTCCAGCAGGGCTCAAGCTTTCCTGCGCTCCCGCCCTCGCACTCTCGCACAGCTCCTCGCTGCCTTTCGGCTCGGCTGCGCGGCTGAGTGCAGGGCGTGAAGCGACGTGCGGGGCCTACGCTGGCCCGCACGGCGGAGCCGTTTTGAAGTAGCCTGGTGCTCTACAATGGCGGAGCAAATTTCTCCAGGAAAAACCACAGACCAAGTATGTACCTTCCTTTTCAAAAAGCCGGGACGGAGGGGAGCTGCCGGCCGCCGAAAGCGCCCGGTCTGCGAACGCGAATCTGAAGGAAGCAGCAGCAGTGGCGAAGAAGGCAGCACAGTTGTTCGCCCGGAGAAAAAGCGGACGCTCCACAATCCCATGATACAGAAGACTCGTGGCAGCGGAAAGCAAAAGGCCGTTTATGGTGACTTGAGTAGCGAGGAGGAGAATGAGCCTGAGAGTCTCGGAGTCGTCTACAAGTCCACCCGCTCAGCAAAACCAGTGGGGCCCGAGGATATGGGCGCGACCGCTGTCTATGAGCTCGACACAGAGAAAGAGCGAGATGCACAAGCCATCTTTGAGCGCAGCCAGAAGATCCAGGAGGAGCTGAGAGGCAAGGAGGACGACAAGATCTATCGGGGAATCAACAATTATCAGAAATACATGAAGCCCAAGGACACATCTATGGGCAATGCCTCCTCCGGGATGGTCAGGAAGGGCCCCATCCGCGCCCCCGAGCATCTCCGAGCCACTGTACGCTGGGATTACCAGCCCGACATCTGTAAGGACTACAAAGAGACTGGCTTCTGCGGCTTCGGGGACAGCTGCAAGTTCCTCCATGACCGTTCAGATTACAAGCATGGGTGGCAGATCGAACGTGAGCTTGATGAGGGGCGCTATGGTGTCTATGAGGATGAAAACTACGAAGTGGGAAGCGATGACGAGGAAATACCATTCAAATGTTTCATCTGTCGCCAGTCCTTCCAAAACCCAGTTGTCACCAAATGCAAGCATTATTTCTGCGAGAAGTGTGCACTGCAGCATTTCCGCACCACTCCGCGTTGCTATGTCTGTGACCAGCAGACCAATGGCGTCTTCAACCCAGCAAAAGATTTGATTGCCAAACTGGAGAAGAATCGAGCTGCCGGAGCGGTTGATGCCTCCGAGTTACCAGAAGACTCCGATGAGGATCCAGTTCCCATTACTTAAGTTTTCCCTCATAATTCTTAAAGTTTCTCATCATTCTCAAACCTCTGAATAAATGTTTTGATGTTTTGGAAATCTTAATTGTGTTCTTCCTTTTTAGAGAAAGTGACTGGGAAAAGAAGGCAGGTAGTGAAGGACGGTCCTAAGTGACTTGTATCAAGGTGGGTATAACCTGGATAAACTACACCTGGGTGTAGCATGCTCTTCAGAACCCTTGGGCCTAATTTATAGGACTGGGATTTTGAAGCTTTGCTTAAGTGACCAAAGCTGCATTAATGGAAGCAATAATTGAACTTATATTTCTGTATTAATAAATCTGTTAAATACATTCATACTTTTTGGGGATGCCTGAGGTCTATTACTGATACTAGCTTAAAATGCACCAGAGCCAAGATGTGTAACTGGGGATTAGGTAAGAGAATGGGTTGGGAGACTGGTAGCTAGCACCACAGGGTGCATGTATGGGAGATTGGAGCTAAAGCTTTGAATGCCAACTTGTTAGCTCTTTTTCTGTATACAGTAGGGAGATAGCACAAGTTTGGGGAATGGAACATACACTATAGTTGCTGTACAATGGATTGCAGGAAGATGGAAAATATCCAGGGAGGGTGGTTAGACCAAATGTTTATTGCCAGGTGCAGAGTTCCCTGTGACTTATACTAACCCTACTCCTGTCATCCTCATAATTTCTGCCACCCTCAAGCCCATTTTTTACAGTCACTTTGGAATTCATCTCACTCATCTCTTTTGTTCACTGACCCTCCAGCATGATGTCTTTCTTCAGGGACTAATACCTTCTGACAATATGCCCAAAGTATCTGAGATAAAGTTTCGCCATCCTTTCCTCTCAGCAGCACCCTGGGTGCACATTCAAGTCAGATTTGTTTGTTCTTTTGGCAGTCCGTAGGATATTCAGTACTCTGCCAGCACCACAATTCAAAGGCATTAGTCTTATTCATTGTCCAACTTTCAGACGCATGTGAAGAATTGAAAAATACCATGGCTTGCATCAAATACACCTTAGTCTTTAAACTAACATCCTTTCTCTTTGACACACTGAAAGGGTCCTAGACAGCAGATTTCCCCAATGCAACACATCTTTTGATTTTTTTTTTAATGCCATTGCCATGGCTGTTGGTTGTGGATCCGAGCTAAATGAAGCCATTGACAACTTTAGTCTTTTCTCCATCAATCATGATGTTGCATATTGGTGAGTATTTTTAGTAAATATTTCGGATTATTAGTGTTTTTTTTTTAATTTAGGTTGTAGTGTTTATTTTTTTTATTATTAATTTTAATGAAAGTTACTGAGACTGGATATCCATTCATTCATTGTTGCACTTCTCTCCCTGCCCACCCCTCCTCCGGAAGTTCACTCGTCTCTTTGAAAAGTTAAAGAAAAATTCTTTCATTGTTATACAATCCCTACCCCCAAGTCCACTCCACTATGCAGCCTTTGTTCTGGACTCCTGTCATGACAATAATACCTAATCATATATCCCTTTTAAACAATTCATTCCTTCATCTGTTTCAGTGCAGTATACATAATTTATCCCATCTTTCTCAGTCTTCCCCCAACCCAATGTCAGTATCGTTCTATAACACTGGCACTATGGAGTATTTGTCCTTTTGTGACTGAGATATTTCACTCAGCATAGTGTCCTCCAGGGTCACCCATTTTCTACAATATTTCATGAGTTCCTTGTTTTTCAATGCAGCACAGTATTCAGTTGTGTGAATGTACCACAGCTTCTCTATCCATTCGTTTGTTGATGGACACTTGGGTTGTTTCCAACTCTTTGATATTGCGAACAAAGCAGCAATAAACATGGGTGTGCATATATCTGCTTGGGTGACAGTTATGGTTTCTTTAGAGTATATTCCCAGTAGTGGAATTGCTGGGTCAAATGATATTTCTATTTCCAACTTTTTGAGAAATCACCATACAGCCTTCCATAGTGATTGCACCATTTTACACTCCCACCAGCAATGAATAGGGTTCCAGTTTCTCCACAACTTCGCCAGCATTTGTTGTTTACTGTTTTGTTAAATTTTTATATTCTTACTGGGATGAGTTGTCTCATAGTTGTTTTGATTTGCATCTCTCTTAGAGCTAGGGATTTTGAACATTTCTTCATTTGTTTGTTTCCCATCTGAATGTTGTCTTTGGAGAAGTGTCTGTTCATATCCTGTACCCATTTTTTTTTCAATTGGGTTCTTCATCTTGTTGTGGTGTTCAAGTATTTTATAATTTCTAGTTATAATCCCTTATCTGACATGTCATTGCCAATTTTTTTTCCCCCTCTCTGTGGCTTCCCTTTTTACCCTGTTGGAGAAGTTTTTGGATGTGCGTAGTAAGTGTTTATTAATCTGCCTAGATTTGGGGTTTATGCCTAGAATTTTGGTGTATGCCATCTCATCAAGGGTCTTCCTCTCCTGCACTGTCCCTCCACCCTCCAAAGCATGATGTCCCTCTCCAAGGACTGATCCCACCTTGCAACATGTCCAAAGTATGTCACACGAAGCTTCAGAATTCTTGCTTCTAAGGAGCAGCCTGGCTCCAGGCTGTCCTGGCTCCAACAGTCCTCTCCAGGATGAACCTGTTCGTTTTCTTAGCGCTCCATGGTATATTCAATACTCTTCTCCAGTACCACATCTCAATGGCATCAATTCTCCTTTTGTCATCCCTAGTCATTGGCCAGCTTTCTGATGCATAGCAAGTAATTGCAAAGATCATGGACTGTGTCAGGCACACCTTATTCTCCAGACTGACATCACCATACAGGAAATTGAGTTTAGGTTAAGGAGTAAGGAAGGATATATTACTGAATTTATACATGCAGAAAATGTTGATCTATATACACTGCATCGTTGTGTATATTCTCAGTAACAACAACAAAAAAAAAACAAACCATAATCAAAACAAAACCCTGTGGATCTCAAAGGGCCAATCCACAACTGGTCATGGAAATGAAACAGGACAGGGCAGGATTTTGTTCATGAGGTCACCAGGAGTTGAAGGCCAACTTGTTGGGAGTTGACAGCTTCCTTCCTTTTACAAATTTTTATCAAGTTATGTATCAGGCATTATACTAGATATGAGTGTGAAATGATAGGGGGAGGGGGAGAAGAAGCATCACAACAGAGAGGAGCGGAACACTTGTCATGTATATAATGTGTATATATACATGAATATGATACATGGAAAGCATGTAACCCTCACCCTAACAAATGGTTGCAGGAAGATTAAGGGTGGAATGCAGCGTTCCTTAATCCCATGCAGCCCTAATGGATAAAAGGCAAATTCTTCTAGGGTGTTGCCTGAATACTTTCTATTTTGCTAGAGATAAAAAGCAGAGGAATTTTTTTTTTAATGCCTGTTTTATTACTTTCCCCCCTAGTTTCTCTGGTTAAACTTATTTTGCTAAAGTTATAAAGCAGAGGATTTTTAAATACATGTATTTTAGTACTGTTTCTCCAGTTAACTGTTACCATTCTCTTTTTTTTTTTTTTCAAAAGTAAGATAAAGAGCTACAATGTGAAATTCTTTGGTGTGAAAACTGCATGTAGCAGTATGAACCTCAAGACTCCTATCTCTAAATTCTATGACTATTAATTTCAGACCTGGACTTTGGCTTCATGTCAAATGAGATTTTTTCCAGGGGAATTTAGTAATTTGCACAGAGAGAAAATATTTTTAAATCTGTTTTAAAATGAAAAAAAAAAAGAGGAAGGGAAGCTGGGCAGAGAAATCTCAAGCCTACCGAGAAACAATTGTCGTGAGTGGAGTACATTTTAGGGGTTTTTTGGACCTAGATACTTGAATGATGAAGCTCTTTGACACCATAAAAGGCCAGGACTAGAGATACTGAAGAAAATGGGAATTTACTCCATAATAGAGAGGAAAATAGAAGATCTTTCTTCCAGAACATAAATTTTTGGTCATCTAGGAGAATGGGAATCCCAGAATATTTAATCGTGCTAATGCGAAACCTATACTTGGATCAAGAGGCAGTCGTCAGAACAGAGCAGGGTAGCACCGCATGGTTCAAAATTGGGAAGGGTGTATGCCAGGGATGTGTCCTGTCTCCATACCTTTTCAACCTGTATGCAGAGCAGATTATCTGAGAGGCTGGGCTCTATGAGGAGAAGTGTGGCGTCAGGATTGGAGGAAGATCTATTAACAATCTGCGTGATGCAGATGACACAACCCTGCTTGCCGAAACTGAAGAGGACCTCATGCACTTGCTGCAGAGGGCCAAGGACTGTAGCCTTCAGTATGGACTGAGGCTCAATGTCAAGAAGACGAAGATTCTCACCACTGGACCAATTGGTAGCATCAGGATGGATGGTGAAGAGATTGAGATTGTTCACAGCTTCCGTTTGCTCGGCTCCATGGTCAACACTCTTGGCACCAGCAGCCAGGAAATCAAAAAACGTATTGCGATGGGAAGTCTGCTGTTAGGGATCTCTCCAGAGTACTGAAGAGCAACGGTGTCTCTCTGAAGACTAAGGTGCGCCTGATACAGGCCATGGTCTTTGCAGTCACTTGTTATGCACCAGAGAGTTGGACAATGACTAGGGAGGATAGAAGGAGAATTGATGCCTTTGAGCTGTGGTGCTGGAGAAGAGTATTGAATGTACCCTGGACTGCCAAGAAAACAAACAGATTCATCCTGGAGAGGGTTAATCCTGGCTACTCCTTGGAGGCAAGGATTCTGGGGCTTCATCTGACATACTTTGGACATGTTGTAAGGAGAGACAGGTCCTTGGAGAGGGACATCATGCTTGGGAGAGTAGAGGGACAGCATAGGAGGGGAAGACCCTCTATGAGGTGGATTGATTCAGTGACTGGGGTAATCGGGATGGGAGTGTCAGAGGCAATGCGATTGGCACAGGATAGAGCAGGGTTTAGGGCTGTTGTACATAGGGTTGCTATGAGTCACAAATGACTCGACGGCACATAACAACAGCACTACACAAATTTATATGTATGTCATTGTTAGGTGCCATTGAGTTGGCTTCGACTCCACAATCCTGTGAACATCTACCCAGCATCATCCTCACCATCTTTG